GGAATTACCAAATTTATCACTTGTAGACAGGCATTTTCTCTCTATTGCAAGTCTAAGTCTAGCCAATAAATCCTCATCGTATTTCACCCTATAAAAACCACTCTGATCCACATTAACTTTAATCCAAGAACTGACATTTGAAACTGAGGCACAAGAGAGCTCCTTTAAATCAAGACTTTCAGATACTGTTTGCAGCAGGAAACTTTTACGAGAATCATAAGAGCAGCAGCACAACGTTAAAGGAACTATCCATTGCCCATCACCACGGGAAGCACTCAATAAAAATTGAGTCTGTCACCAATGGATAAAAAGCTGTCAGAACTTCTAAAAGTCATCCAATATACGTCATACATGAAAGGAAATTGACCTTGGAGAGGACATGAAAGTAAATAACTATAGGATCTCTGAACACGAGATAACCTGCTCAAACTCCAATTTTTGGCCTTTGACTCTCACTGAGACAACAGGATAACCTTTTTGCTTTGTCCATGAGTTCATTAGCTTGTTCACCGGCTCACCAGATTCTTCTTGAAGAACTGACCATAAATCTTCAGTCTTTGCATTTGAGCAAGCATATCGTTTTATGTATGAAGCAAGTGCCCGCTGGAAGAAGTCCGATAAAACATTCATAAATTCTCAAATGAACTGATAAAGAGGTAGAATGAAAATCTATAAATGGTAATAAAGGAAATTTTTAGAGAATTAGAATAGATAAAAAGAATTAATTAAATCGTTGAAGCATATCTTACATTGACCTACATGAATCTCATACTTCCAGGAACAATGCAATCCTGGTAAAATAACATTGAAGAAGGAGATGGAGAAATATACTATTGTTGCAAAACATTCTAATTCTTTGGAGGTGACAAAACATGTAGGGCTAGATGCCTAGATCAAATAATGTGGCAAAAAGGGATATACGCCGATCCCACATTTATTATTGGGAACAAGGTTTAGCTTGTACCTTTTATGATATTTTTAATTCAGTTCAATGTCTAATATCTCAGACAACATATTAGTTTTATAAGGTTTTTAACCATCTAAGCTAACAAATAGTTGTTATGTAGTCGACAACGAAAACAAAAACTCATTCAATAAAAAAATTACAACTATATTTTGAACTTCTTGTACTTTGAAGTTCTATCAAGTCACTGGACTTTGCAAAGGTCTACTTTGTAATTGTAGCATCCAATTCTGAAAAGGTGGGAATTAATTGGAGCCATTCAGGAAATTGGATTGGCTTCTACTTGGCAATGAGTAATGAATTGTTTGGAGACCTATTTATGGCTTTGGCCAGTGGTCTAAAGGCTGATGGCTGCAGATATGATATCAAATTATAAGGACTGACCAAAAGTAGAGAACATCAACATGCACAAGAAAGTTAAGAATCCAGTAATGTTAGCAGATTTATAAGGCAATTCCAATCCTTAAATATTGCACTTTCTTGCATTTGAGATGAAATAATTTTATAATATCAATGTCTTGATCCACAGGTCAAGTAGGCATGACAAGAGTACAGTTCTAGGTTCATACACAGAAACACAGCCCAAAACAAATACATAACTAAAATGACAAAAGCACCAACCTTAGAAACATCTTGGAATTGGAACAATTGCACAGGAAAGAAGTTGAAGAAAATGACTTTAGAAAGCAAATAACCAACCTGAAAACATTCGGGGCCAAGATAGCTCTGTAGCATCCGAATGACAGATGCACCCTTTCTGTAACTGATTGCATCAAAAATTTCATCAATTTCATGTGCATGATTTATATCCACCTGAATAGAAGATTGTTGTAACATTTAATTATTAAAAGAAAGACTAGTGATGAGAAAATTGATAATGTCATCGTCATTTCTAGCGGGCACCAACTAATACTAAAGCCACGATTGCTTACCTCAATGGGGTGAGATTCTGCAAGCCCATCTAGTCGAAGCCCTTCAGTACTTTCCTCAAGAAACTGAGTCCAAATTTGCCATTCTGGGAACAAGCTATCAGTAGCTAAGTAGCTCACCTGAACGGCAAAAGGCCAAAAACAAATAATTATAAAGCAACTAATAATGTAAATGCATAAGCATGCATGAGTACCCAAAAAATAAAAATAAAAAAATACAAAAAAAAAAAACACCAAAATACCCATGTTGCAAATCCCTCGTTCAGCCATAAATGTGTCCACCATTCCATGGTCACAAGATTGCCAAACCACTGGTGTGCAAGTTCGTGGGCCACAACAGTGGCAACCTAAATAGGGTATAATTTTTATGATTAAAACACGAATCATATAAGAGAGCTCCAATGACATTATATTAAGTTCACTAATTAAATTTCTGGAAATTCACTAATTAAATTTCTGGAAATTTGATAAATGTCGACATAGTTTGTTTCACCCTTTGCTTGTTAACAGCTGCAGAGTGCTTATCATCATAGAGCAAAGCAGTTTCCCGATATGTAACTAGTCCGTAATTCTCCATAGCACCAGCAGCAAAATCAGGAATTGCAATCATGTCCAATTTGGGCAGCGAATATGGCACTCCAAAGTACCTATAATTTTTATTAAATGAATTTGAAGAGGAATCAATAATTTCATTCTGTTGTAAGCATCTAAGTTGTATCCACTAATGGAAACTGAAAATATAACTGTTATCAAGTTATGAGCAATGATAAATACAAGTACACTTACTCCTTGTAAAGGCCAAGTGTTTTAACAGCAACATCCAGGGCAAATTTCCCTTGATTTCCCTTGCCGATTTGGCAGTATACCCTAACAGTGATTCCTGTAAAATGTGATATTGTTTGTGATTAAGAAAGGACAATACACATGCAGAAAAAATACAAGATAGAAGGGTAGTAACAAATATACCATCAGGGGTGTGATCTTCGACATAATCAAACAAGCCAACAACAACTGCTACCAAGTATGTGGACATGATAGGTGATTCTTGATAATATACTGCCTTCAGATTCCCATTGATTTTTTCTTCAATGACTGGCATGTTGGAAAGAGCTACGAGTTCTAATGGCACTTCCAATGTAATCTTGAAAGTAGCCTGAATTGCAAGTTTAGAATGAAGCAGAAACAAGGGTCAAACTTTCAAGATTTGTAGAGCAATTTGAACAAAAAATGCAGTTAGTTAAATAACAACTCCATTCAAATAAGCTAAAACTAATTCAGTAGTTAATGATGGGATTGGAATTGGGAGGAGTGAGATATCTCAATCAGCAAGTAAACTGAACAGTTCTATATTGTGGTTGTCTTATTAGATTAAATGAATTTAATATTATTTATTACTGAGTATTACTCAGACTTCAGATACAGTAAAATACTATAACGTATAAAGAAATTATCTAACCATTGTTGTCAAGACGAAATTGTCATGGCTACTATACTTGGAAAACTAAAGGACGGCCTTTATATTTCCTTTTGGGAATTTCTGAAATGTTAAGGGCAGCCAGGTTTATGCATTCCATGATAAGCTTATAAGTATCAAGTGTTTTCTGAAATCAACTCTATAATGGTAACCACAAGTACCAGTGCACATGCTTGGCAGCAGAGTAATGGCAATACCTTACAAGCAGGCTCATCCCAACATGGGAAGCAACGCCTTGCATCGGCTGGTTCAAACTGGGTAACAGCCATATTTTTCTTCTCCCCATTATGCTCATAGGTGCTGGACAGACACAAGTAAATCAAGTGAAAACCAAAAAATTATTTTCTTGTCGATTTTATAACTAGCAAAAAGTAAAATAAAAAATAACACACACATGCACACCAACATTTTTTCCCGTATTATTTGACAGGTTAACAAGTTATCAACTTGCAAGATACCTATATCAATTATCAAGAACACTTTTAATCAACACACTGTGTGCCTCTCCATCATATAATGTAACTGAGATTTTAATTTGAGAAGGTAGAAACCATTCTTGACTAATGCTGGTGGGAAGATAATATACTGCCATTTCAGAATTGTCCTGAGAAAAGCACGGGCATGCATTTCTTCGTATCCACTTTTCAAAGGCCAATTTAATAAGAAACCAATAATCGGCTGTAAATCTCCAATAAACCTAGTAATCTACTAGACATATATAATCTGTCGCAAGCACAATCAAAAAAATTAAATTGTACACAAGGCAAATCATTTAAAAACCTCAATACATGCCACCCTAAACTGAAATTACAACTGAATCTAGCCGCAATTAGGATATCTAACAAAAAGTACCCGAGAAATGTCCTGCTATAGGTTATTGACCACACTAACATAACTATGTATACTATATTCATCTATGCATATAAATAAACCATAAAAATATACCTTCTGTAAAATCCTTTCATCCTATCATTCAGAGTCCCCTCGAAATCCATGCTTAAAACTCCAACTCCAAGCGGCAAACTCTCCTTAAACTCCAACACCATTATCTCATCCTCCTCACACATCTCCACATCCACCGCTTCCACCACCTATTCAATTAAATCAAATCAAATCCAAATGGAATAAATAAGAAAAAGAGAATTCCACATTATTCGAAATAATTAAAGGAGGGCATTTTGCTTTAGCCACGACCTTATCATTGGATGTGAATTTGACAGAGTCAGGGATGACTGAGAGTTCGGCGGCGTTAAGAATTAGGAACTGAGTGTCGGATACAACGTCCACAGAGATATCGACCGCGCCGGTGAAATTGCATGCGGTGAGGTCGGGTTTCAGTTTGAGATCATACCGTTTGGGGAGTGCGAATTTGGGAAGCCTTGGCTGGCCTTTGAATTGGGAGAATTTCTGCTTCTGCTGCTCCATTTTTGTGCAAAGTGAATTGTGAATTCTACGGCAAATTCTGGATTGATATGTGTTTATATAGAGTTGCGAGAGCGAGCGCGTGAGGACTGATGCATTTTGCGTGCAAGTGAAAATTTTTTTTGCAATTAAAAATGTCATCTTGGGTCCTCTATCTATAAAAAATATATCAATTAGGTCTCTAACTTTAAATTCATGTCGTCCTTAAAGATTGCTTGGCGTAACGTCTTCAAAGATGATTTTTGTAATTAATTGTCAGTAAAAATGGGTATTATGAGAGAGAAGAAAAGTCCATCTTCTTCAGCAACTTCCCCTTGTGCCCATCTCAGGACTGCTTACCACAACTGCTTCAACAGGTGAATGATTAAATCATTTTCTTTTTAGTATCCCCTCTATTATTTAAGTTTTCAAGAGCAGTTTTTCTGTCAATTTAATTCTCCGGAACCCTAATTAAACCTCGGAGACCTGAAATCGATGTTATATGCAGGTGGTATGCAGAGAAGTTTTTGAAGGGTGAGTGGAACAAACAAGAGTGCGTTTCTGAGTGGGAGAAATACAGAGAATGTCTATCTGTAAGCTCTTATTAACTGAAATTTGAAGTGAATATCTATTTGCAGATTTTTAGAAAAGAAGGATCTTAGTTTTCGGGTTTTTCTTTTTTATACAAGCAACATTTGGACGATAAGCATCTGAGCCGGTTCTTGGAAGCAGAGGGCATTATCGATTTCACCAATCAAGCTGAGTATAAAAACCCCACGGGTGTTTCCAATTGATTTTTGCCAAGATTCTACAAGAACTTGATTAATTTGTATACTACATTACATATGAGAGGATGCATATTTATATTTCTACAAGAAAATTTGTTCTTTACATGTTTCCATTAACACTGTGCATCTAGTGAATGGCAAGATGAGAAACCCCGGCCACAGGGGTACTTCTTATGTAGTTCAAAGTGTTTTTTTGATAGATGGCATTTTAAGGATAAATGCTGGGACCTCAACTACCTTTCCTGCTTGAACTCACTGTTAAATTTATGACAAAAGTCATCTATTATTTCGTTGAGTTGCTTGTTTTCTGATCCTTCCTGTGGACGGAATATAAAAGTGAATTACAATACACGCTTCTTTGTCCATCTTGGAACAGCTGATATACGTTATTATAGATTCTGCTAGATGTAAAATGGAAACTGGAATTTCCATTCATGTTCTTTTTTTCACACTGAACTCACTGTTAAATTTATGACAAAAGTCATCTATTATTTCGTTGAGTTGCTTGTTTTCTGATCCTTCCTGTGGACGGAATACAAGAAGTGAATTACAATACACGCTTCTTTGTCCATCTTGGAACAGCTGATATACGTTATTATAGATTCTGCTAGATGTAAAATGGAAACTGGAATTTCCATTCATGTTCTTTTTTTCACATGTCTGCAAATGAAAATCTTATTCTCTTAGGTTATTGAAGGGAACCAGAACCCATGATCCAAAGTCTAATATAATCTCCTAGGCTATTGAATGGAACAAGAAGTCATGTACATGAGATATCATTCTTACACTTTTGACAAATATCTCTACTTCTTAAGACGTGCTTTATCTTGGATTCTCTGTGATTTGCTCTTTAAAATCATATTTTTTTGCCATTTGCGTGTTTGCAGTAGTTTTTGTTCCTGGACCTGAGAATACCTTCCTCAACCATCGTGCTAACTAACTTTATGATGTTTAAATGAGAGATAATTATCTTGTTCTTAAAATTTGTGTCGTTTCTCTTGTTGGTATGCCATTAACCATTGTAAAAACAATAAAGAGTGATGCCACGAGCTATAATTATATCCACTTAATTTTTACAAATTTCTCTGTTCTCTCTCCTTTTGGTTTTTGCATTCTCTCTCTGCATTCTTCTCTACAAGCATTTATACATAGTTCTTGTTAGATCTCTCAGTTTCATTACCAAGAAAACACCCACAAAAGAAAATCACAGACTAGTACTGATAAAATTTAACCTGTGCTACTTTCAGAAGGAAAAAACCATAGATGAGAGCAAAGCCTTATATGTGGTGGAGGATGAAGAGCAATTTATTGAAGATTGGTCTTAATTCATGTATCCAAAATGCCATCCAAATTATAATTTTCAAGTAGGATTGGGAAAGGTTGGATCATTACCAAGAAAACACCCACAAAAGAAAATCACAGACTAGTACTGATAAAATTTAACCTGTGCTACTTTCAGAAGGAAAAAAACCATAGATGAGAGCAAAGCCTTATATGTGGTGGAGGATGAAGAGCAATTTATTGAAGATTGGTCTTAATTCATGTATCCAAAATGCCATCCAAATTATAATTTTCAAGTAGGATTGGGAAAGGTTGGGTTTTAAGATATTGGGCTTGCAACAGAACCTCTTAAGACTTACTATTCTGAATTAAGATTAGATTCATTAGTGGCTCTTAGAAGGTATATATTTTCTCAATAATTCGTTGATTTGCCAAGCTCAATCCTAGCGTAAATGGAACCAATACTGACAATTAGTTTGTTTATTTTTTTCTGTTACAAAAACCTATTCTTTTCTTGGTTCTAGCGTACTGAAACCTGGCCACAGCAGAGAGTGCATTCTAATGTAAAACCTTCCTGGGGATCTAATACTTAAGCCACGACGTATTTTCATTTTATTCAGGCATCCACTGAGAGTAAGTTCTGGGGATCTTGTAATCTTATTTAATGTAAAACCTCGTTGACTGTAAATCTTGTAAATCCTCGTTGGCTGTAAATTCTAATGTAAAACCTTCCTGGGGATCTAATACTTAAGCCACGACTTATTTTCATTTTATTCAGGCATCCACTGAGAGTAAGTTCTGGGGATCTTGTAATCTTATTTAAAAACTTTCTCGTTGGCTGTAAATCTTCTCCCTTCCCCTTTCTCATTTATTTTTTGAAGTCTTTGCTCTTGTAAAGGCCTCGAAGATTTGACTTTGGCTTTTCATAGGTTTACAGTAATTATTTTTTATATTTGCTCAACTTTCTTTCAGAAAAGCTATTAAGTTGAAATCTTGTTGTTACAGAATTATGTACTGTCTAAACCTTGATTCTGGTGGCACTGCAGCTTGCGTTGCTTCATTTGATATGTTCAACTGGTCTTTGACACATGATTGTTCATTTACGAAAAATAAATTTTGGTTTATATTAAATTTTTTGTGTTCATAATAGAGTGGGTGGATAAACAATACCGTGAATCGCCCCATCCATACTCACAAGGAGAATTTTGGTTTCATACCCCTGTTCTAACACAAGGAGTACGCAATTCTAATATGTCAAGGATGATCCCCACATATCAGGCACTGTTATCGAGCACATTGAACTATCTACATGGTTGAAAGTCCTCATTGTTCAAACACAATGGCACAATTATTAGAGGCTTGCGCTACATTTGAGTTAATAACCCGTCATGTGAGCCTCCAAGGGGGCTGCTAGGCCAAAAAGGATAGATATCTCATCCCTCTCTTTCCTTTTTTCGCCCCATATAGCCACATGGGATTGGGGAAAAAAAAAAAAAAAAAAAAGGAACCTATCAACTCGTTGCCGTTGTGGTCGTTAAAAATCTAATAACATTGGTTCTTCATACAGATTAACTGTTGCATCGATTAAAGCTGTTTTCATGTATCCAATCTCAAATTTATCAAGAACACGATCTAGCGATAACTTTATCCATGCATGTAATTTCGACGTGTCTCCATGGTTTGTGGTATTCCTCCAAAAAAGATTTCTTTCATTTTTGTATTATAGGAATGCTATATATTCATGATGGGAGAAGCTTTGATCTGAATGGAGAAATACAGAAGTTAGAATATGTTGTGCCTTTCTTGTTTAGTTTAAATAAATACATTTTCTTAACGAATAATGTTATTTATCTCCATTAAATATAATCACCTGTCGACGTGGCAGTTGACTGAAAACCTCAATTATATGAATAAGAGATTCATGCTATTGATCTTATTATTAATGTCATATGTGATCAACGATTAAAGATAAATAAAAATTTTCTTTCTCAACGCACGGAACTTGTGAAAAAAATTAGGAAATAATTTTATCAAACCTTTTTCCGTTAAAATAAGAGAATATTTTTTTATGCAAACTAAGAACAAAACTGGCATTGAAAAACTTGAAACATTTTTCTTTTAGTTTTCGGAAAGTAAGGAAATTGATATCTAGAAATATGATTGGCTAGGTCCATTCATTAACAAAATTAAGATAAAAACTTATAAAATCCCTGTTATATTCAATTAAAAATAATTGAACATGGGAAAAACATGATAAAATTTTTCATATATCGAACTCTTATTCAATATGACATATTTTGGAGTGTTGCAATAATTTTTTGAATAACATTACTCATCATGCTTTCATCAAAATAGCTAAAAACATAATATGCAAGTGAGAACTTCTTTCATTACTTGGGGTAATTACATGAACAAGATTAGAAATAAATTTTTACGTTCGATTTTGAACAAGAAATTTTAGAAGTATTTATTTCAGATATGACCAAAAATCCTAATTTCTCGTGAATATTATACGAATATGAAATTCAACTTTGAAAATGCAAAACCCGTCTACTCAAAACTTCAATGAAATTGTGAAAGATCCGATAGAAATAGAATTATAAGTTTTTTTCAATTATGTTTTACGTTTTTCCAACCACAATGGGCAATGGTCCCAGGTAGCCTATAGCACAAGACCACCATCATTTCTTCCTTTGTGAGACAGGACCTAGAAAAAAGAATAGAAAACTCCTCCTTGCAGCAATCCAGTGGTGGCTCAGCCGTGTCGACAACGCCATCCCCGATAACATACCGGCCTAGCTCAAAATCAGTGCCAACAAATTCCATTCTTGCTTCTGCTGAACGCTGAACCCAGTACCCAACCTCGACTTTGCTGATTGAATTTGCTGATTTCTTGTGAGTTTCAAGTTTTTTTTCCTTTTTCTTTTTCTGTGTTTCTTGTTTTTGTGTCGGGGATATGCACGATTAATTAATTCTTCGTGTTTCTGTAATGGGTGCCTGTTATACGTGCTTGTATATATATCTGTAACGTCTATATGTGTGGTTTTAATCCAAGAACGTTGAAGATTTCTTGACTTTGTGCTTATTGAACTGTTTGGTTTAGTGGAAAATAAAATGTTGAGCGAAGCATGAATGAGGGATTTTGACTTGAATTTTTCAATTTAAGTAACTATGTGAATCGACCAAATTATCTTCACTTTGCTTGGGAAGGAAAAAAAAGGGAGGAATCTACTAATTTTCTTCTAAAAATCATTTACAGAATTCTTGATTTTGGAAATAAAAGATCCCAAGCAAAAGAAACGGATTCAAAAGGCCTAATTTAGCTGCTATCTGGACTTGCTAAATCAGAATAATCATTTTTCCATTTTATAATCTTTCTATGGTGGTTTGTCCATTAACAATCAATTGTGCAGATCATTTTGAACTTCTGACTGTTATCTATAATTGTTTCTTAAAGATTTTGCTTTGGGATTAAAGAGGATGTCATCTGAAGTTGAATCCTGGAAGAATTATGCTGAAGAATTTAACAGTGGACATTTATTGCGTGATATTGAGGAACTTAGCAAAGCACTTTACTTGAACCAAACTCTGCCTAAATCATTAAATTCATCACCAAATCATCGCCCTGACGTGGCAGCTAAAACTAGGTCGCCGGAACGAAAATCTGAAGTCGTTATTCGGGATTTGTCATATAAGGACAAGAAATCATCAATATGGAATTGGAAGCCCTTAAAGGCTTTGACCCACATTGGTAATCGCAGGTTCAACTGTTGCTTCTTTCTCCACGTGCATGTTATTGAAGGTTTACCTTCAAATTTTGACGGCCTTAGGTTGTGCGTAACGTGGAGGCGCAAGGGGCATCTGTTGACAACTCGCCCTGCTCGGGTCAGTGAAGGAATGGCTGCGTTTGAAGAGACTCTAATGCACCGGTGCACAGTTTATGGTAGTAGAAATGGCCCTGAACATTCATCAAAATATGAGCCCAAGCTCTCCTTACTTCATGTCTCTGTGATTGGGGCACCGGCACATGACATTGGGAAGCACTGGATTGATCTAACAATGTTGCTTCCTCTTACTTTTGAGGAGTTGGACGAGGACAAGAGGTGCTCAGGTAAGTGGACTACAAGCTTTAAGCTCACAGGCAGGGCTAAAGGTGCCATGCTAAATGTTAGCTTTGGGTTTTCTATTATGGGGGTTAATTCATTTAAACCAGGTTGTTATGTAAAAGTTCCTAATATTGTGAGAGAAAGAAGACCACTAGCAACAGACCATCTTGCTGATTTTGATGGAAACAGCCTACATATGCTCAGTAGTGTACAAAGAAATTCACGTCAAGGATCACATCGTCAGTCCCGGTCTTTAGATCTTCAATTTCTTGAGGAAATTTCCCCAAATTGGAATCCTCCCCAATCTGTTAACCTATTGTATCGGACAACAGATGAGGTGAAGATGGGAAACTCTGAGGAGTTTGATTTCTTTCATGGAGATATAGAGTCCCTTACCTCAAAGTCTGGCCTGTGTTTTGAGTCTGGTGATGGAACTACCATAAATATGTTTGATGATACTGAGTTTACTGTAATTGAGCAGGGTGTGGAAGTATCTTTGAAGGATCAAGAGAAAATGGGACAATATGCTTGTCAAAGTTTTGACAGTTCAGTAATTGAAATCATTGATGTTGCTGAGATTTTGGAGGAAGAAGGCGTCGTTTCTAATGAGAATGCAGCTCGGAATTCGAAGCTTGCAGTAAATGGTAATAATTGTAATAAAAATGCCAAGGATTACGGTGATTATAAAGAAAGTATCATGTGCTATAAAAAACCAACTGGCGAAGAACTTGATTCATTGCTATATATAAGCAAGCAGGACGAGCTAGGGAATTACAGGAAGACAATGTCTAGTTACAGAGGAGGGAAGTTTGTAAAATCACATAGCTTGGATGATGTTGCAGAATCCATAGCCAATGATTTTCTCAGCATGTTGAGCATTGAGCAAAATCCAGATGACGAAGTTTCTGATAGTGGGCCCGAGTCTCCAAGAGATCGCCTTTTGCGACAATTTGAAGAAAACACCCAGGCTTGGCAAAACTCCATATTTGATATTGGCGTAATGGAAGAACATGAATATAGTTGTCTTGCTCCTAACGGCTGTTCAAATGATTTTGATTTGTCATTCACTATTCAGGAAGGCGAAAGGAAGCATGGTAGTGGAAACCAGTCATTGATGAGTAAAAGAAATGCTAAAAGGCTCGAGAACTTGGAAACTGAAGCTTTAATGCATGAATGGGGTCTGAATGAAGAAGCTTTTCTGAATCCTCCACGCACTAGCTCTGGTGGATTTGGAAGTCCTGTCTATATTCCAGCAGAAGAACCACTGAAATTACCTTCTCTTGGAGAAGGCCTAGGTCCAATTATTCAGACAAAGGATGGTGGGTTCTTACGGTCAATGAATCCATTGCTTTTCAGAAATTCCAAAAATGGTGCCAGACTAATCATGCAAGTGTCTGCTCCAGTTTTGTTACCTGCAGCAATGGGATTCAGTATCATGGAGATACTTCAATGCTGGGCATCTGAGGGAGTTGAAAAGATGTCTGCTCAGGCAAATGAATTGATGCCTTTGGAAGATATCACAGGGAAGACAATACAAGAAGTGTTGTCGGAAGTTGAATCTAGATCAAACGCATTTAAGAGGTCGTAAATTTCCGTTATTGACATTGAGAAATTAAATTAAATTCTGCAGCAATTCTATTCTTAATATTCTGATTCTAAAGCATTTTTTCCCTGTGTTTCTCTTCTATACATTTCTACAATGTGCAGATGGACTTTGCAGCACGAGAAATGGCCACTTACACAGGATTTGAATACCCTGCTCTCATGCTCAAATTGCAAGGATATAGAGTCAGATTATGTATGTTATGAAGATCTTGTTCCCTTGGCATTAACAAATATTGAAACTCTTTTAATTGAAGGGCTCAAGATTCAGTCCAACATGCCAGATCAGGAAGCACCTTCAAGCATTAGGGTCCAATGTGCTGGGAAGTTGGCTTTCTTAGGTAAGAGTGTTCAACTCAGCAGGGACTTTCTTGATGTTGATGAATTAATGAATTACTCTGTGTCAATGGAAGAATGGTTGAGACTGGATGCTGGAGATTTTGATGTTGGAGATAAAATTAACGAAAGAATTGTGAAAATCTTAGCAGCCCACCAAGCCAAATCCATAGAATGGTGTAGTGGACAATTAAGAAGGGATAACGGAAGTTGTGGTGTTTTTGGTAAAAACTTCACAATAGGTCTAAAAGTGCAGCTTAGGAATCCTTTTCGTAATTATGAAATGGTTGGTTCCTCAATGCTTGCTCTAATTCAAGTAGAGAGGGTTTATCCCCACCTGCGACGAGAAGAGAATGGAGAAGAAGATGGTCAGGACAATCAATTGATTCAAGAAAGGATCAATTTCGAACAAAAACAGAAGGAAATCCATGAACACCACGTTCCTTGGTTTAAAATATTGGACGTCCATCTTGCCGGTCTGAATGTTGAGCTTAACGATAAACAGCTTTGGGGAACCAGAAGACAACATCAATCTGGATCCCGTTGGTTGTTTTCTAGTGGAATGACTGCTAATAACAAACCATCAATCTCCATTTCAAATGCAATTGTAAAATCATCAACACAGATAACGAGGAAGGCATGCCCTGGAGATGTGTTGTGGAGCATCTCCTCTAATGTTCAAGATGCAGCAGCTACCTGGGACGAAGCTGTTGCACTAAATATTTATGTAAGAAATCCTGATATTCATTTTCCAAATGAATTTGTTAGATCTCCGAGATGGTAGAATGAGCACAACTTTTGGTGGGACTATTCAAGCTTTTGTTTTTGCCAGACGCTTTAGTCTGGGGTTAATAAGTTAATAGCATTTGTACTTTGTAAAAGAAACTGTGCAAATTAGCTCAACATAACAGAACTGTACATCCATTTTAGGAATGTAGTCCAGTTCATTTTAGCATTCTTTTATACAACGAAAAAGTTTTTGCTATGGTCATAATTTTTTCTTTAATATATACTCAGATTTTGTTTATACATCCACTTTGAATTGTTCTTGTTGGATTTTATTAATATGAATGCTCTTTAGTTTTTGTTTATATCCATGATATATGCCAATTCTGCATTTTGTCTCCTATAGCTGTAAACTTGTGGCCAAGACAGTGTGAGGCGATCATACATGCGTTTTCGTTAAGGATGGATACATTTTGGCTGGAGATAACTAAGCTTTTGTCTAAATAAGTATTGAATTAAGCCCGTCTGGTACGAATTAAAATTTGATTTTAATTTAAGTTTAAATCAAACAATCAATATTAATTACATCTTTCATGGATCCCACAACTTTTCGACCACACATTTCAAATATATCTATCACAATCTATTAAAAAATTTAATTTTAATTCCCGTCAAGCACCCTATTAAAATTCGAATTAGTGAACTTTTTAGCTTGGCCGAACATACTCCCTGTGAAATTTTTTTATCAGCCCACTAAAATCTGTTTTTATATTATATCTGATAAATATTCACTTGGAATTTACATAAATTCTGCAGGGATCTAACATTACCAAATGCCCTTCATACATTTTCTTATCATCCCATTACCTCTTAAATACTAAAAGATAGCTTGGAGTATGGCTAAAGAAGGATCAAGTTCATAACTAGGAACTCCTTGTGAAGTTATTTCAGAATTTTCTATTAGAGCTGCGGACCTTGGTGGTTGTGGATGCCCTCGTACGTTGTTACTACGTACCTCTGATCATCTTTGTCTCTTTCAACTCGCTTCTTTACTGTGCAGCCTTCAACTGAACACTTATAATAGTTCCTGTTTGATTACATGATACGGTAATTAGAGCTCGACTCTTTCACAAACGTTCTCAAGTCAACACAATAAATAGAGAGTCCAACATTTTTTTTTCCGACTAATCCCTGTCCAATTTAAAAAGTAGTCTGTATATAATAGTTGAAGCCCAAAACGAAAACTTAATGAGCCCATTTCACTCAAACTCAAACCTAACCCAGACATCCGTCTCCATCTATTTTCTTATTTTTGTGTCGTTTTATCTACCACCACTGAGCAGTACTCATTGCCAGGTTTATTAAGAAAAATAATTTGCATTCCCTTTCAGTTGAATTTAAATCTTTTTTCGTTTTTTTTTGGAGGATTTTGATTTATTTATTTATTTCGGAGGTGGATTTGTGATTTTTTTTTCGAAACTGAGCCCCTGTTTGATTTTCATTCTTTTCTTATTAAAAGGAAAAATATGACCGTTATCTATCACATCAAGCCATCAAATTTTAATTTTTATCTCTTGTATGGGATCCGTAACGACTATATTTTTTATTCTCATTCTTCTCTCATTCTTTAAAAAATGAGGAACAAACGGGAGCTGAAATTCGTTACAGTATTTGAAAAAGAACTAGAACCCTTTCTACGAAGTCTTACAACGTACTCTTCATCTTTCACTTTATCTTAGAGCTGTAAATCATTTTTCCGCTTCTTTTTTTTTTGTATAATATTTATTTGATGAAAAGTACCAGAACCCTATGTGAAATAGTGAATTAGAGAAGTAATGACTGATGAAGGTGTTTTGAATAGAAAAGGATTAGTTTCGGCCTCATTTTTCTTTATTCTGATATAAGCTCATGGTTCAAACAGAAAACATAGTTCTGGACCTTTCGATCTTTAATCTTCACTTAATTGTTTCGAATTTTTGGATGTAGATATCCATTGTTGCACCAGTAAATGTTTATATCTTGAGATGCATTTGTATCATATGTCTATGTTTGAAATTCTCGACCCAAATAAATAATATCTTTTGATGATTTTTTTTCTCCCGATAAATTTTATTACATTGATTTTCCTAAATTTTAGCCCCCTTTACCAAAATCTTGAATCTGTCCCTGATAGAGATAGTTGAATACCTTGGATTTGGGCTGTTTTTCACCATCTTTTTCCCGTACTTCCTCCATTTGAAGCCATCATCCAGTATCTCAATCTCTGATTTCGTTTTGAAAGCAACCTTGTCTAACTCTTTCAATTCTTTCTTCTCCCTGCGACTCCCTCCACCTGCTAGTGACACAAACCCAATACAATAAAATAAATAAATAAATATATATATATATATATATATATACACACACACACACACACACAAGCATTTTTAAATAATGACATTCAAGACTTGCTTACTGCTACTATCTCCTTCAAGATAGACACTACTGTTTCCACTGGAGTTAGCAACTTCATTGACTGTATAACCTGGATTCTGAGGTTCACCCGACTCAACAAACGCTGGATCTTCCTCAATCCAGTCATCGAGCTCGAAGAAATCAGAAACTTCGAAATTCGTCTCGGGGACGGTGTACTCACTCATCGGAGTGTCACCGGGAATGTTTGCGTTGGGATTTTGTTTATCCATGCTTATCAACTGAACTTTCATGCTGTTTATATATCAGCTGGGGACACTTCCTGCTTCCTAGTATGTCGAAAGAAACTTCGTAGGAACTTCTTGTTGCTTAGCAGCGGTGGCCAAGTCACTTAAATGTGTAACATCACAAAGAGTTGGAGGCATGTGCGAAGACTTTCAGATTTTGGTGTGAAATCAACCAACACTCTCGTGCTTAGACCAACCCAATCCCAACGGGTGTCGATATTCCGTTCAATTCTCATACTAAACATTTTATTTTAATTTTTTTTTTTTGGGAAACCGTACGTTGAGGTTCATTGTTTTAGATCTTATGTGAAATGAAAGAGACATCCCTGTGACTTAAGGCAAAGTTAGCAGACTCAGTATTGGACCACATTTTTTGGTCGAAATGATTAAGGATGACAAGTTAAAATTTTAAATAATATATCATTATCTATGGATTATGGTATCAGGAAATAACCTGGAAATCGAAAGTTTGGGTCCACTTTTGATCAGCCGTGACGTAGCGCAATACTAAAAGTAGTGCATTCCCGTTGAAATAAATCAGATTATGCCGTTTTATGGGTTTTGAGAAAGATGCTTAGCCCTGTTTGGTGGGGTTTATAATCAGATTTTTAATAAGTTTTTTTGATAAAAGTTAATGAAATATACTATTGAAAAGTTATGAATTATATAAAATATGTGTTTAAAATTAATGATTGACATTGATTTAGATTAAAATCGTGATTTTAATTCCTACCAGACAGGGGTTTAGTGTGAATGTTCGACTTTATAAACATAAGAGTTTGGACTTTCTTTTACGTCTTCGATATTATTCAATATTTAGTATTTAATCCTTATGCCAAACATAATGGTGGTGCTACCTATACAAATTAATTTTTGTGGCTAAATTGACTTGCGTATGTGCACATCAAGTTTTCATGTGTACATTATCTCAAGTGGTTAATCAAAAAGATTAATTTTTTATTTTTTCTTTGGCAATTTTCGGTTTTATTTGAAGCTCAAATGTCTTAAATACTTAATTCGAAGATTGAAACTCCATAAAACGGGTCTATTATGATCATTTGTTTTATATTTTAAATTATGAACATTGCCACATATATATCAAGGTTTACATAATGTCACATGATACTCTATCATTTATCAACTTAAAACGCTGTCAACTTTTTCATCCAATTTTTTCCGTCCACATTGTTTTCGGTAACGACTTATGTAATATTTTTATGTACAAGTAGCAAAATCCAACATATTGTCCAATTCTTTGCTCCATTATGAATAGGATATTTGATAAGCTTCTAGGAAGGAAGACGAGGCCAGATTTCAATTAGGAAGTCCAGTCAACAAGTCAATAGGAGGTCAATTGGGCAACTTTTATTAATTTACGAATATTCTGTTTTCTACCGGCACTAGAATTATACATCAACGACTCAACGGAATAACGTATGGGTTCTCAACGACTCATTCTTCTGTTTTTAAAGCCGCTAGACCCAATATCCACAAAGAAATTTTTATTTCTGAGCCAATAGTCACCTTAAATATAAAATGCTTTATATATATATATATATATATATATGAAATTCAATAGACTCTTATTTAACTTTTTAGCATAGAAAAATAAAATTATATTGATTACATTTTATAAGAGGAGAAAACAATATGTTGTTGAAAAAAGGCAAAATGAAGGGCTAATTTTTTGGTGAATTTTGAAGATGAATATATTTTGTCAACTGACTGCCGAGTGTATTTCACTCGTACTTTAGAAACCGTCTAAATTTGATATTTAGCTCATTTCTATGAGTTTTAGAGCGTTCTAATGTGTTTTTTGATTTGTGATATAGGTTGATGAAATTGAAGAAAATAAATAAAGTTGGCAAAATTGGAGAGGTCTAAAGTGCAAATACTCAGAAGTTGTGTCGGACCTCACAATGAAATTCGAGAGTGCTATGAGTCAATTGGATAATGAAAAAAGACAGAGATTAAGGGGGCGTTTGTTTCCTATTCTTGTAAAAATAAGAATGAAAAATATATCAGTTATGGGTCCCACACAAGAGATAGAAATTTAAATTTGGTGGTTTGATGTGATGGATAACGATCATATTTTTCATTTTAATAGGGAAACAAACGGGTGCTAAATATAATCAAAATATGATCATTATTTTAAGTAATCTTTCAAACTTGTTTTGATATGGTTGAATTCGTCACCATATCCATCATTAGATTAGTTTAAAATCATTAATCTTATAATTCGATTTTCAAGATAAAATAAGAGTTATTGAATTATAGTACTAGTAGAATTTGAATTACAGTCCATGTAGGTTCGACATTCTTAACTCCATTAGTATATTACAAAACATGATACTGTACACTTGCAGCATAAATCACTATCTAGAAAACGCGTTACACTGACGGATTTTTGAATTAAATCGACTAGAAGTCCGCCCACATTTATTAAAGATTTGGAAGCTTGCAAATTTCCCTTGTTTTAATTAATTGAAAGTTAAACATACTATTTTGCTATTTTAAAATTGATTAAATTATGATTAAGCGTCTGACTTCTAATTAATTAATTTTTGAATTGAAACCATTTGAGGACCCTTCAATCTCACAATTTTGAAGGGTCTTCTTGATCACTCTCCCTTGAACTTGAACTGGTCAAGAGATATGAATCCGCACTAGATCATGTCCTCTTCCCAATAGTTTGACATTGTCTTGGGGCGATTTTTGTTTTATGAGAGATTATGAGCTATGTTAATATTTAAAGGACTGAGTACAATCTGCATTGTGTTGAAAGGTTTGGTCTAAAAATTTCCCAATTTCATTTGGAGAGAGAGAGAGAGATGGCAGTCAGATGGAATGGTTTGACAACAATGATTCGAGCCCCACGTTTATTACAAACAAAAAGTTTTCAAAAGACCAAATCAGCCAAGCGCTAAAAATCAAACCAAACTCTCTAGACCAAACACCAAGATGAGTAAGAGGCTGCAATGCTGTATATGTATGCCAGGATAGGAAAATGCTTCTTGTATATAATTATTTATATAATATTTTACATATTGATGATGTGTCAAAATGTAAGTGAAGAAACTATTTGATTAATGAGATTTTGATCCACTTAAATTTCATCATATCATATATTGATAAATAGTAGTGTAAATTGTTATATACATTTAGCAAACCCGCCATGATGCTTTAGGATGTATCAATTGAAAAATAAATGATCCAATAAACTGTCTAACCCTCATATTAACAGTCACATGTTGACCGAGTCTGGGCACGTGACTAAATTACACAAACTTTAAATCCCACCATTTAACGATGTCTTATGAGTTCAGGCCTGTTTAGTGAGAATTAAAATCAAAATTTTGACAAATTTTTCATAAAATTTAATGGACTTTGTGGTTTAAAAAATTGTGAATCCCATATATTAAAATTAATTACTGATTTAAACTTAAATTAAAATCTAAAATTTAATTTCTAACAAACATTGTTCTAAAATTAGACTAAACTTCCCTTCTACATCGAAGAATATTTAGTTTTTGTACTAATGAATTTATTCCAGCAATTTTAAAGTGTTGAATTGTGTTTTGAGACGAAAATTATGTCAACTAGTAATTTACAAACTTTTTCAAACTTCAATGATCAAAACTCGATATTTTAAATTTAAGAAAATAATCGAAGACATAGATATAAATTAAATTCAGGAACCATTGAAACAATTAACTCCATAAAATCTCATTACTCGGGCTTAGAATTCAGATAACACTACCGGGCAAAACAAACATAAAATCTCATTACTTCCGCTTAGAATTCAAATACCGTACATAGACCACAATCCACATTATTACAATCCCAAACTTGGACAACTACTAGTAGCACTCATAATTAAAAATAGAAGACCCAGCTTAATTTCAACTTTCAAGCAACTTTAACCTCAATAGTCTTGGGATTCTTGGGTTCAGGAGGCGGCAATTTCTCTACAGTCACACTCAAAACCCCATCTTGACAAACGGCTTTAATGGAATCTACATTAGCATTTTCCGGCAGCACAAATTTCCTCATCAATTTTCCTACTCGCCTCTCCATTCTCACATACTTGGCGCCCTCTTTTTCCTCCTCCCTTTTTCTCTCCCCACTTATCACAAGCACATTTCCATCCTCAATTTGCACTTTAATGTCGCCTGATTTCAACCCCGGCATGTCGACCAAGAAGACGTAAGAATTTGGGTACTCTTTCACGTCAGCCGGAGTCGCCGCCATGGCCTTGGCGTCTCGGACGTAGGTTCTGGTTGGCCCAGTCATTGACTTGTCGGATTCTTCGCCGGTGGCATCGAGCATGTCGTGGACGGCGTGTAAGATGGGAGCGTCAAATCCCAGGAACCTGAAATCCATCGTTTCTTGTATAAAGACTAATCTGCTGTTCCTTGGTGCCTTTGCTTATTTTGTACTGCTGCTTCTGCTCAGAACAACTTGCATTGTTGGGATAGATGACTGGGTATATATACGAGAGGGATGAAAGAAGAATGAGAAGTTTCTGGAGGGTAATGGAATAACGCAGTGACGTTTCTAGGAGATTCTGTAATTTTGTTCTATACGCTTCCAGAAAGTGGCAGAATGCGATTAAAATCGCAAAGAAATCTCAAATGTTTTTAGAATTATATTGATGCCCTTGAAGTTTTAGCAATTCAGCATTGGCTCCTACGCGCTTGTCCTTTCTTGATTCACATCCTATGAAAAGTAAAGCAAAAATTAGGGCTGAGCTCTCAACATTTCCTTTATTGTAGCATTAGATCCGTAACCTTTAAAAGTAAAGTTTTGGCTCCCTAACTTATTCGGCGTTGTGAGGTCGTATCTTCACATGATGAAATATATTGAGGAGGCAACGACATATTAGATCTTCAATCGTCGAGATGAGGATTATGGCAATCGGATGAGAATGGATGGTAAAGAAATTCGGTTTTTTATCTTTAATTTTTCTACACAAAATTCCATGAAGCATTCGATTCCCATCAAGATTCGACCCTAATACTAGATAAAATATAAGCCATTTCACCCCTAAAATCTTTCTAACCAATTGATATCCTTGAACATAATAGTTACCCACTTGGCATGAATTGCCAACAAATTTGCTTTCAACAAAAGTCCCACCGAATAGGATAAGCCTCTTGAAGAATGACCATGTTGGTTGCACGATTTTGTCGTCCTTGGTTAACGAGGCAGTCTTGGAGCCTTGTTGCTTGTGAAATTTTACACCCTATTACGCTCTATAGATAAATGTATTAAGTCCATGTTTGATTGGCCTTGAATTCTATGGAAAATGGAAAATGAATTCCATTTTTCAATTTTTTTGGTGTTTGATAGAACATTTTTTTCACAAAATTTGATTTCTTTGTTTGTCTTGAAAATTGTGATTTTCCTGGTTTTTCAACCCATTGTTCATGTTTTTTAAACTTTTTTTTTACAATGGAAACAAATTCTAAGAATTATTGTAAAAAAATATTTCCTTTTAATTAACAATTTTCATGTAAAATAAAGTCAAATGAACAACAAAAAATAGATGATTTTCTCGATTTTTTTTTGTTGGTAATGTAAACAAATTTTATCTCCAATACCAGTAAATTTTATCCTTTTAATTGACAATTTTTCATGTAAAATAAAGTCAAACGAACACTAAAAATCACTTTTATTTTAACATTTTCCACGCGAAAAATTATAACAATCAAACACAATAATTTACAATTCACAGGAAAACAATTTCTAAACAATTCAATTCCTTGAATTTGTTTTGTTTTCAATTCAATTCAATTCCATCTTTATAATCAAACGGACCCTAAATAGAATGGAATGTCAAAACTTAACTTTTAAAGATTAGTGAATAAATCTCACGCTATCAAAGGGTTGGGAGCCCAACCTTATTTTTTCCAGAAGTGAAAGTAAATTAAAAGTTAACATGTTTGTGATACTTAGCTTGATACACAATGTGGTTTGAGGATTTAAAAAAATAATAATAAATAAAATAAAATAATAATAATAATAATAATAAAATAATCAATAGAGGAATTTCACCACCTTCGAAAACTCTAATCCACTTAGATAGCAATGGGCCATTTTAGGCAAGAACTTACTTGGATGATGTTATTGAAATAAATTGAACTTCAGTGACCAACATGAAGATTTTGCAATGCAACCTCGAGGTTTGTTTGACCTGTCATATATGTTGTTTGAATCTTTAAAAAAATAATAAATAAAAAATAAAAAAAATAAAAAATGAAAAATGTTGAACCCCAATCTTGTCAACCTCCACGGTCCTAAAATATTAGATGTATATATGTTGGTGATAATCAAAGCTTAATAACTCACATAAGGCAACAAAAATGAAGAAAAAAGAAAAGAAGCTTAATGACTATTTTTCGAATCGCGTGAGAGTAATTATTTAAAATATGATTTCATTTCACATAAATGTATTTTCAAAAATTAGGAAGAAGTTATAAAGAATACAAAAATAATTTATTTTTAAAATATGTGATTAAAATGAGTGCGAAGGAAAAATAATTACAGAAATTAAATCTTAATTACTCACAATAATATGATATTGTAAGATGTTAATGAATTCTGAGACAAAACTTTGACATTAGTGTTCTTTGAATTAATAATGTCAAACTATATAAATTTTAGTAATTATTTGAGATATGATTGGTTGATAATTAAAAAAAAATAAGAAAATGATAAAAATTCTGTCATTATTCAAAACTCGCTTCACTGGATAATCTAACAAACCTTTGGACATCACCGTCATTCAATTGTACATAAATTGAGCACTGATCAACCGTACATTAAGATTGCACAACTTAGGAAAGAAAAAAACAGACAAATGAAAATCTTGATTCGGCATAAAAGCAGATAGAAAGAGCAGCAGCAGAGAAAAACGGGTTTTAAGCTCCACTAGTTAAGTGTTCCCTTAACCAATCTTGACGTCAATGGTCTTGGGCTTCTTCGGCTCCGGCGGCGGCAGCTTTTCAACAGTAACAGTCAGCACACCATCCCGCGAAACTGCAGAAATAGCATTAGTATTCGCATTTTCCGGCAGCACAAACTTCCTCATAAACTTCCCCACTCTCCTCTCCATTCTCACATACTTCACTCCATCCTCTTTCCCTCTACGTCTCTCCCCGCTCACCACCAGCACATTGTCGTCCTCCAGCTGCACTTTGATCTCACAGGCCTTGATTCCCGGCATGTCCACAATGAAAACATAAGAACTCGGGTATTCTTTCACATCCGCCGGTGTCGCCGCCATGGCCTTGGTGTCACGGACGTAGGCTCTTGAGGGGTTGTTCTGTGTCGGTTTTTCGTGGTCTTCGCCGAAATCCATCATCTCTTGGAGGGTTGAGAGGAGGGCAGAGTCGATCCCAAAGTTCCTCAAATCCATTTCTGGGGAATGAATGAACGGTTTTGTTGAAGTCGAGAAATTGTCGGTTTGTATGTTAAAGTGTTTGATGAATTGATACTGCGAAAAAAGGAGAGGATGTTTCGGATTATATAGTGGTTTGTCGGACGATGGAATGTTACCGAGAGTTCTAGTTTGGGAGTATCATTATTTATGAGACTACATAATTGATAATTCTATCCTCTTCTGGAATAATCAAGACTGATTGAGACTTGAGACCTTATGAGTTGGACCCATAAAAAAAATTGGGTGCGGTAGTTGGGCTGTGGGCAAGTCATGACTCGATTTCATCCTATCATCTCTATTTTTGATATGCCCGTAAAAAATGACGAGCATTTGAATTGCATTGTGGGGGCTTGTGAATGACCTCAATGTTTCAGATGGAGATAGAATAGCTCCTTTTTAACGAGTATGCTTTGAAAGGACTTTACATTATGGATAAGCATGATGACAAGATATGCATTGCAAATAGGCTAGCGCTTTAGCACAAAGTGCAGCACATGGATGCGTTTTGAGTGTTTACATGTTGTAGGTTTTGAAGGCGATATATTTAATGGTCATGTCTGGATTCGTTGGAAATTGACAGAAGGTAGTATGGTATAAGTATGAAAAATTGTCCCAATACAAGATTCAGAGAGTTGAGTCGTGTCAATTAGGCTTTGTGTAATGGACCGTCAATTCGGCCCTTGAGGTTCTAGTACACATCAAAGCAGCCTTCCCCACACATGTGGCCTGCAGGCTAAGATATACAACATAAGCCCAATATAAGAAGGTAGAAAGCTTGTCATCATACTTGTACATGGGATGTCATTAGAGCACTTTTCAGTAGGGCAGATTGAGGAAAATTTTTAAACTGGGCTAATATGTTGAAAAAAAAAAAAATTACACACAAAAAGTTTGTTTTACTTATTATTATTATTATCATTATTATTATTATTATTTTGAACAATGGTGGGTTTACTACCAACACTCACACCAAGTGAATCCCACACAGGACCTATCTGTATAAAAAAACTAAAAAAAACCTCACCAACCAACGGTGTTGTGAGTGTTCTGTAAATCCGTACCTGTACATGAAGCACCTCTTTTACTTTTTCCTACAAAAAAGGTGACTTGGTCTAAAGGGGGAGTGGGGCCCTAAATAAGCCAATGCTTTTGAAAATGTGGAAATTACACCCAACTAGATATCTTAGGATCCAACTTAAAATATCATACCTAAAGTTTATTTATATAAAAATCAAATATTAATTCAAATCTTTAATATTAATGGTCGTATCTGGATTCATTAGAAATTGACGGAAGGTAGTCCAATACAAGTAAGAAAAATTGTCCCAATTCAAGATTTAAAGAGTTGGGTCATGTCAGTTGAACTTGGTGTAATGGACCATCCGTTCAACCCTCGAGGTTCCAGGACACACAAAGGCAACGTTCCTCACACTTGCAGTTGACAAACTAAGATATACAACATAAGCCCAATATAAGGAGGTAGGAAGCTTGTCATCGTACTTGTACATGGGATATCGTTAGTGCACTTTTGAGCAAGGCGGATTGATGAAAATTTTTAAGCCGGGCTAATATGTAAAAATAATAAAATTACAAATAGAAAATTTGTTTTTACTTAATTTTTTTGCCACACGTTTTATGTAACATGATTTAACCGCAAGTGTACGATGTCAAATTTTATAGTATACTAAGGAATTGAAAAGTTTCGAACCTGTGACGCCCCGAACTTAAGTTTCGAGTGTCACGTACAAAACATAATAGCTTCTGCCTTTGGTACATGTAAATACTCTTAAATAGAAGTATTACATGTTAGAAACTTATTTTCAACTTGGTAAAATGTCTCTCATAGATTTTTAATGGCCCGCAGAAGCGCATGTCGACAAGAAATTATACTTTACATATACAGACTCTGCACTGCCAAGGTTAGTTGGGGCAGCAATTTCGACTATTTTTATAAAATTCATTCCAACTTCGTTTTCTATGAAATTCACGACATTAGAAAGATATTTTCGAGTAGTTTTCTAGGTTAAAATATGAAAAATCTCCAAGATCATATAATATGGGTGTTTTTCTGAAAACAGTGAGGTATTGCACAGAAATTTCAGATTTGACCCTCCAACGTTTAAAAATTCATATCTTAGGCTACAGATATCCAAATTGAGTGATTCTTATGCCCATATTAAGACAACTCAATGAGGAACGCAGTAATATTTTCAGAGTCTCAAATGGATGTTTATGGAGTCAAAAATAACGTGTTGAAATTGACCCAAAAACTGTCCTGTTTCTACCTTTTGTCACTTGCAAGGAGAAGTTTTAAAAAAAAAGGTCTCTTAACACAACATAGCAGATATAATTGCATAATTTACTTTTGGTACCATATTACATCATGTCTCATACATGTTTTTATACAATACCATAAGAAAACATATGGAAAGCAGTCGAACAAAACATGCAAAAACAAAACTTCGATGCAAAACAACCTTGTCCCTAACCCATCATCGATTATGCCGACCGACTTCCACCAACTCCGCAATTATGAATCTGAGAATTTAGTATAGAACACTATGAGTATAAAGAATACTCAGTAAGATACCATGCTTGGATTTTAACATGTTAATACTACACAAAAGAATGCAATCAAACACATACTTGCACATTCCGGCTTGCCGGTGCCCTTTAGACTTGTCCTAAGGTATAAATAGATATCTAACTTTGTGGACTTGTCCACAACATTCATATTATGGTTTTTCATGCATGGCTTAAACATAAATATTACCATGAAATCATACCACTTAAGCATAGAAAGTATCTTACAAAGAAATCTTGGTTGAAAAAGAATTGAGAAATGCTAGGCTAGTCCTCTTCTTCCCTCACGTTTTCTTCCCTTTTTCAAACAAGTGATAAGTTGTTTTTCGTGCAAGGGAAATAAAGAGCAACAACACATCTATTTATAGGTGAGAAAAATGATAAATTTTGGGTGACCCTTCAAGAAATTCAACATGTGTAGGTTGCATGGTTTCACTTTCTTAAATTTAAAACACCTCATGCTTAAATTTAAAACACCTCATGCATATATGTTTCATCAATTTTCGGCCAAGTTGGAAAAACAATGTTTAACTTTAGTAATTAGGTGTAAAATGGACATTTATCCCAAACCCCTAATTAACAAATTATTTGGAAAAACTTTTAATAAATCAACCAATGCAAAATTTGACAACCATAAATATTTTTTTGGTCATACTAAATTTTGAAAAGTTAAATTGCTATTCTAAAAATTAAATGAGCACAAAATTCGAAGTATTACAGAACCCACAGGGATTGATGTTCGACTTCTACTGAATACTATAATTGTGTCCGCATTTACTTTATCTAGACAATCGGATGTTAAATTGATGTTTGAATGCTAAACTAATGTCGATGAATTAAATAATGCAAGGAAAGTGAGGCAATTTCTAAAGATTAAATTAGAATTATGTAATGTCTAGAGAGTGATTTCACCGTATTATCGACATAATTCTCAACCCCTATAGAAATTTCTATCAACTATTTCCCGAATGCATAGGCAAGAATCCTAAATTAATTCTATTTCCCTCTCTTGAGCATCAAATAGAACACATCTCTATATTTTAACCTGATATCTCTATTCCGAATTAAATATATATAGATTATCAAGCACTTGATTCTTGTTTTACCCTCAAAGATTCGCACTTTCTCTCAAAACCTACAAATCTAGGTTATATTGTTCTTAGATCACACCTAAATTTTCCTTTCTTGAGCATCAAATTTAGAGCATCAATTCATTCAATTGGTGATCAGGCAACTGAAAGCATTAAGCAATAACAATACAAATCAATTTTGGAAAAATAAACAGAAATACTATAAAGAAATTAAATTATGTCTCAAATAGGTTACATCAAATCCTAGATTTAAAAGTTTAATTCATGATGGAGAAGAAAAACGCAATGAAATACAAACTAAAGTGCATGGAGAAGAGAAAGATAAGAAAAAACTCAGTTTGCTGCTTGATCTCTTCTCCAAATCGAGTCAATCTTCTCTCAATTGGTGCTTCCTTTGCCTCTTCAACTGTCTAACCCCCTCATCTAGGTCTTCATCTTGGTATTTATATTCTCGAGGAGTCTTCAATGGTTAGGGTACTATTTTTGGGCCAAGAAATAATTAAAAATTCGAATTTTATGTGTTTCGAGATCCGACAGCGCCGCGATGTAGTTATGGACTGGTGCTGCAGCGCCCAAGTCTCGCGCCGTGGCGCCAGTGCTACTGCTTCTGTTTCCTCTCGTTGGGCGACATGGCGCCCAAGTCTGGCGCCGTGGCACCAAGCCCACTGCTGGATCATTGGTTTCTCACGGCGCCCATTTTCGGCGTCGTGGTGCCCATGGTACTGCCATGCAATACTCTCATTCATTTTTCAAGCATATTTTCCATTCCGATCTTCTTCACTACTTGCTTATTCATGCTTCATTTCAATGATCATCATTTCTGCTCATCACAAGCTCCAAATTGTGATATTTTCTCGAGAGTTGTCCAAACTACAAAACAACACGAACACACACATCAAAACTTTTAAAAGTGCCCAAGAACAAATCAAAATACGTGATTTAGAAGCTTTAGTTTAATGAGTGAATTACACTCATCAAACACCCCAAACTTAGTTCATTGCTTGTCCTCGAGCAAACACCAAACTAAAGAAAATCATTAACAAACACACTAGCACAACTAAAACAAACAAAATTACTTAAAAGACACATTATGTTAGACATCTTGTCTTTATAGCTCAAGATTAAAAACAGTGTCAAATTCATGAATTACTTCAAAGCTATAATGCACAAGTCAAATTCTCGCTTATTCAATGGAAACGGGTGTGTGTGTGTGGAGAGAGTTAAGCGCAACGCTGTACAATAATAAACTGACCCAATTCCTGACCTTAAAAGTCAAATATTTCCTTGCCTCGCTCGTGGGATTCACACACCCCCAAACTTGTTTTCTTTTCTCTTCCCAAGGTGTATTCTAAAGTTGATTTTTCAATACTAATTTCTTACAAGCTCAAATTTAGTTAGATTTCACTATTGCAATTCAACATATCAACAGATGAGGATTCTCCTTATTTTTTACTGCTTCAACCTCTAGGAATCAACCAAGTTAC